TCCGAGGCACTGGGCGGCTCTCGGCAGGTGTCAACTCTGTGGGTAGTCACGACGACTATGTGTGCCAGATTTATTATTAATTTTATTGCTGTCTCTTGTTTTGTAGTGTTTTTTTTAATGTATAAATGTTTCTGTGTATCTTTTTTTCTTCTTGTGAACTGTTCTTGAAGCCTTTAATTTTATATATCTTTTTATCCATAAGCGTTTAGTCCTTAATTAATATTCATGGTTGTATGACTGTGAATAAATGTATTTTCCTACAAGGTCTTTATCATACCCTGTGTCTCTTCTGCAAAAACTATTTTACCACATTCCATATCATTTATCCGTCTGGCAGTGATCACCATCAGTCACTCAGCCCACCTGTCAACCAATTAATCATAGAATTAACCCACGAGAGAGAGAGAGAGAGAGAGAGAGAGAGAGAGAGAGAGAGAGAGAGAGAGAGAGAGAGAGAGAGAGAGAGAGAGACCGACCGGGTGAGCGAGCGAGAGAGAGAATAAAAGAGAGAGAGAGAGAGAGAGAGAGAGAGAGAGAGGAGAGAGAGAGAGAGAGAGAGACGACCGACCGGGTGAGCGAGCGAGAGAAAGAATAAAAGAGAGAGAGAGAGAGAGAGAGAGAGAGAGAGAGAAGAGAAAGAGAGAGAGAGAGAGAGAGAGAGAGAGAGAGAGAGAGAGAGAGAGAGAGAGAGAGAGAGAGAGAGAGAGAGAGAGAGAGAGAGAGAGAGAGAGAGAGAGAGAGAGATGGGAGACACACACAAGCATCACTATGTAGGCATATCGATAGGACATAAAACAATTTTTTTTTACTTATCCACCTTATATTTCGCTACATGTTTTCCTACATCTCATCAAATAAAGTGTAAGATTATTTCCCTATCTAATCATACCATTTGTACACGTGCAACGACTGGGTGTGTGAGGATAAACATGGTACAAAGAACATACTGTACAATGGTAAGCTTCTACATGTACATATCACAGTCTTACTCGCCGCCCCAGTATCTGCATAGACAAGTACTATCTGTTCAAGACGAGCGTGTGTTCAAATGTATTAAGAACATCTACGTCTAAATAACGCATGTAGAACTGATACTTCATACTTCAAAATGAATACATGTCTAATCAGAAATACATTGTAATTATACACGTTTTTTCCCCTAAGTGTAATGAACTATAAAAATTCCAGTCTGGTTGCACACTTCTTGTGTATACAATATTTAAGGTTTCTCGGAGGACAAGCTGGGAAACGAGCGTAAAATATCTATGCTATTTACTTTTTATCAATAATATATAACCTAGACAGTTAACCAGAATTAATATAACATTTCCGCTTGGTATGTAAATGATATTGATCAATAAAATATGTAGATGGGTATTGATAATGGATAGTAGTAATAAAAAAATAATAGTGACAATAATCACTGTCCTGCCACACGGAACCTTAATTTGAAACACGTTTAAAATCAGAACAGTTCGACTCACAACCAAATTATATGCGAGATATAATCAGCAGTGAGTTCAGTTCGTTGCTCTCCCGAGGTCTTGCGAAGTGATAGCTGAGCATTTAGCAGCAGCAGTCCTACGTCTATACATACAAATATCTTACAATGTACAACAGGAGGCCGTCGCCCTCCCTCTGGTCCTCAGGCCACCTCGTCGGCGCGAGTCAAGGGCCGCTCGTCCTTGGGCCTCGCGCTCGTCTTGCACCCCGCCGACGGCTGGCACGGCAGCGACGTCTCCTCGGCCAAGGTCTGGCGGCTCCTGACGGCCCGGCGAGGCGAGGCTTCCGCGGGGCTTCTGGGCACGACGTCAGGAGGGGGCGACGGACCGCCCTCCCGTCGCTGGCGCGCCGCCCTGTGTACCTGCGCCGTCACCAGGTCGGGCTGAGGGTTGTGCAGCGAGATGTAGCCCGTGTCGGGTCGCAGCGGCTGCGCGGAGGCGCCGGACTTGCGCGAGCCGCCCGAGTCCGGCAGCGCCAGGTTCAGGGACTGGAAGCTCCACGACCTGCGGGTGGACGGGTGCCTGGCGCCGCGCTCGCGGGCCAGCTGGCTCAGGCTGCGGCTGTGCGCGCGCGCCTCTATGGGCAGAGCGGGGCGCGGCTGCACGCTGCAACGGGCACGGGGCGTCAGGCTGGGGCTGCGCATAAAGGCATTGTGGACTGAGGAGGAGAATCCTTACGTTTGTTTGTTTCTTATAACATGCGGCGCAAGGGAGTCCACAAGAAATATAAAAATACGTAAAATATAATCAATGTATATCACATAAAGAAAATACAATAGGGAACAGAATCCCGGATCGGAATAAAATATCCACATCAATATATTCATCAAATATTCACGTCAGGAAACACAGCCTTACGGGCCACCTCCGAAGAGTCTCTTGGACGAGCACGCCCTGCAGCCCTTCTGCAGCGCCTCCGGCCGGACGCAGCGGCGCAGCTCCGACGTCCTTGTGCCTCGGATGGGCGGGCGTCGCGGGCGGGCGTGGCTCAGGCTCGACGTCACGGAGGCGCGGGTGAGGCGGGAGCCAGGGAGCTGCTGCCGGAGGTCTGCGGGCGGAGGCAGACGCTCAAGCAGAGAAGGGCAGAGCATATATATATTATATATATATATATATATATATATATATATATATATATATAATATATATGTGTGTGTGTGTGTGTGTGTGTGTGTATTTGAGTGCGTGAATGTGAATTCATGTGTGTAATATGTTTACACACACACACACACGCACACACACAACACACACACACACACACACACACACACACACACAACACACACACACACACACACACACACACACACACACACACACACACACACACATATATGCATATTAATATATATGTTCGTATGTATATATATATTTAAGTACGTGTGTGTGTACATTTATGTGTATGTGTCTACAAACGTAAAAATCGAGTTTCATTCAAGTTGATCATCACAAGAACCACCTCTTTCATAAAAATAAATAGTATTCATAAAACCGTCTTTCCTGCAGCTGGAAACAACTAATTACCCCCCCCCCACCCCCATAAAATAAGATAATAAATAAAGAAACAAACAAAAAGAGACGGAGAGAAACAGATAAATGATCAATGAATAAATAGATGAAAAAAAAGAAAAAAGGGAAGGGAGAGAAACAGATAAATAAATAAATAGATAAAGAAAATTTAAATAAGATAAATAAATAAGTAAAGAAAGAAAAAGTGACGGAGAGAAACAGATAAATAATAAAATAAATGAATAAAAGAAAAAAAAAGAAAAAGGAAGAGGGAGAGAAACAGATAAATAAATAAATAGATAAAGAAAATTTAAATAAGATAAATAAATAAGTAAAGAAAGAAAAAGTGACGGAGAGAAACAGATAAATATAAAATAAATGAATAAAAGAAAAGAAAGAAAAAAAATGGGAGAGAAACAGATAAATAAATGAATAAATAAACAAAAGCAAACAAAAGATTTTTTTTTTAGTGTGATGTATCTAAACTTACCCACGTCATGCAGTGTAGGTGTTCGTAGTGTGGTTAAAATGCGGTAAATTTACGCGTAGTTAGCGGTGGCTGACAAGATCAACTGCGCTGTACACATTCCTCACTGATTCATCGAACTGTATTTGTAGCAACTTTTGCTTATCGTTGACCTTCCGAAACAAGAGAGAAGAGAGATTTTTTTTTCAGATTTTAAAAATAATTTTGAGAGAGAGAGAGGGGGGGGAGGGAGAGGGAGGGAGAGAGAGAGGGAGGGAGAGGAGGGGTGGAGGGAGAGGGAGGAGAGGGAGGAGAGGAGTGAGAGAGAGAGAGAGAGAGAGAGAGAGAGAGAGAGAGAGAGAGAGAGAGAGAGAGAGAGAGAGAGAGAGAGAGAGAGAGAGAGAGGAGGAGGGAGGGAGGAGGGAAGAAGGGAAGGGAGAGAGAGAGAGAGGAAGGAAGAGGAGAGAGAGAGAGAGAGAGAGAGAGAGAGAGAGAGAGAGAGAGAGAGAGAGAGAGAGGAGAGAGAGAGAGAGAGAGAGAGAGAGAGAGAAGAGAGAGAAGAGAGAAGAGAGAGAGAGAGAGAGAGAGAGACAGGTAGATATCTGAAAATTTCTGATGTACCTTTACACATAAAAATCGAAATAAATACTATGAGATCTTACGTATTTCCAAGGAATGTGTACAAACACAAAAATCTTGCCACAAGAAGATCACCTTAAAATAAAAATCAACCATTGCTTAGTCAATTCTTCAAAAAAAAAAAAAAAAAATAATTGCGGGCATAAACAATCGCAGCAATGATAAGACATTTCTTGTTTAAATAATTATCCGAATTGTTGAATGAAACAGACACAAGACGGTAATAAGAATGACCTTGACCCTTAAAAAAAGAAAAAAAAAAATGCGAACTGTGAAACAAACACATAGAGATTTCCCCGCATATTAAGCAGCAATAAAAATAAACAAAGAAACAACAAAAAACAACAAAGACAAAGATAAACAAACAAATGAATAAAAAAAGAAAAACGAACTGTGTAACAAACAAACGTAGAGATTTCCCCACATACTAACCATCAACAAAACAAACAGAAAAACAAACAAAAAACAAACAATCAAAACAAAAAATAAACAAACAACAAAAACAATCAAAACAACAAAACAAACAAAACAATCAAAACAAAAAACAAAAAACACAAAAAATCAAAAAATAAACAAAACAAAAACAAAAAACAAAAAGAAACAACAAAAACAAAAAGCAAACAAAACAAACAAAAACAAACGAACAGCCAAACACATAAATAAAACAGAAACAAAAACACAAACGCAACTAAATTAGGAAACAAACATATCACGAATAATCAAATAAATAACTTAATAATAATAATATTAATGATAATAATAATAGCAATAGATAAGACAGACCATAATAATAGTAAAAGATTAAATAAACCATAACAATGATGATAATAGATGAAATAAACCGTGATAATAGTGATAGATAGGATAAACCATAATAATAGTAATGTATGAGACAAACAATAATCATGATAATAGATAAAATGAGCAACGACAGTAGCAATTACAATACAATACAATAAGCAATGATAATAGTAAATCTCGCACTATATGATAAAAAATAAATAAGAATAAAGGAAATCTACAACCA